TCACTTCATTCCTAGGTGATTCAGATCCAATCACCATACGAATCATGAAAAAATCGTTGTCTTCTCTAATTTTTATCGGAAATTTATCGAAAACAGATGTCAAAACACAGACAGCTGCCAAAACAAAGCATGAAAAATAAATAAAGAATAAACAATTAAAGATAAAATGGATGCAAAAGTTCAAATGGTGAAGAAAATAATTATGTCGAGGAGGTTGTTGGCCACAACTAGGGTGAGTGAAGAGGCAAAAGTATGTTCCGCAGTATTACGGCATCTCCAGGATAAGCATTTGCTGCTTTTGGAGGAATTGGATCTTTTGTATGCTTTGAACGAATCACTTGGCTCCGAAAGAAGATTAATTTGGAAAAAAGTAAGTATTTGTAAAAACTGGATGTGCTTGAACCAATTTTTATGGATAAGTGTTTATATTTTTGTAGGAACGAACTCAATCCTTCTTTGAGAAAGATTGTCAGAAAGGAGATGAAGTTTTTTTTAAAAACAACTTCAGAATTAGCCGACAACTTTTTTATAAATTATGCGAACTACTGCCAGATCTGCGAAAAAGTGATACAAATATGCGAGAAGCGATACCATTGGAAAAACGAGTTGCTATAGCTCTATATGCTCTAGGGTCATCTTCCGAGTATCGCACAATCGCAAATATGTTTGGCGTGGGAAAGGCAACCGTATGCAAAATATTATTGGATTTTTGCAATGAGGTCTGGAGAGTTTTGGCTCCAATATATTTAAAAAACTTTCCGTTGACAGAAGACAAAATTAAAGGCTTGGTGCAAGAGTTTGAAACATATGGATTTCCCCAATGTATGGGAGCACTTGGTAAGCACCTTTTTATGAAGTAAATATTGTTTTATTTTTACTAAATGAAATCGTTAATAGATGGATGTCATATTGAGATTCACCCACCCAAGGAAGACGCTACAGACTACCACAACTATAAGGGATGGTAATTATCTATATACATACTATTTACACTGTCGACCAACAGACCTTCT